GGGGCTTCACCGCAGGCCGGGCCGGCTTCACCACCGGCACCAGCGACGGCTACGAGGTGGTGAAGCGGTACACCGCCCACAAGGCCAATAATCCGCTGGCGAAGTTCCTGCCGGAGCTGAAGAAGCTCGACCACTCGCACTCGGGGTCGACGGGCCACCTGCACGGCTACTGTACGGCGTGGAAGGAGGCGGCGAAGGACGCCGAGTTCCGCAAGGTCCAGGACCAGGTCTCCGATGAGCTGTACTTTAAGTGAGTGGTGACCATTTTGATGATGATGATGATGATGATCTTCTATTGCTGATGAGTTCTATTTCTCCTTCTCCTCCTTAGCCCGGCAATGAAGGCCGCCCAGGCAGCGGGCGTGCACACCGTCCTCGGCCAGTGCGCCTTCTACGATACGATCATCCAGCACGGCGGCGGCGACGACCCCGATTCGCTGAACGCCATCGTCAAGAAGACCAAGTCGGAGATGGGCGGCCAGGGCGTGCACGGCGGCAATGAGCACCAGTGGGTGGAGAAGTTTCTGGCCGCTCGACGACACGACCTGCAGCACCCGCACAACACCGAGACGCAGAAGGAGTGGGCCGGATCGGTGGACCGCGTCGACGCGATGAGTGAGCTAATTAAACACGGCAACTGGGACATGCACCCGCCGATGCACATCAAGACGAAGAACCACGACAAGACCATTCACTAGAGCTTCGATTGTGTGATAACAGCGATGATGCAATAAACGAAAGAGATTCTGTTTGATTTTCTGATCACTCATTTGAATCGGCCAAGCAGAGCGCGCGCGTCAGCCAGCGCGTAACGTTCTCTGCGAGCGGCGCCCCACTGTTTTCTCTGCTGCGGCTGCCGCCGCCTTTGGCAGTGCTTCAGAAGCAGCAGCTCTCTTTCGCCGTCTTTGTTGTCGTCAGTGGTGGTGGTGATCATCGCGCAACAACATATCCCACCACTCTTTACCACCAAAGCATTTCTCAAAGCAATTGACTATTACTTATTGACGATTACCTTTGTACCTGGAGAACAGTGTACAGAAGTGCTGGTGCGCGGGCGGTGGTGGTGGTCAGCAGTGTGCTTCAACACCGGACAACATCAGCGGCGACACCGAAGTAGCTGAGAGAGGTGTCGTCGACGACGACGACGGCGGCGGTGGCAGCGACCTTGCACTTGAAACCGATCACAACAACAACAAACACCACAACACCGATTCGAAAAGATGGCCAACCAACATCAATCACAACAACAGCAGGCGAACCGGTCAGGAGGAGGAGGTGGTCCACTCGGCGTGACGGAGCCGATCTCGCTGGCCTTCCCCAAGGATGCCGACGTGAAGATGTCGACGGAGCTGGAAGAGTGCCTAAGGGGCTTCGACCTCTTCGAGCCCGAGGACATGATGACGAAGCGGTGCATGATACTGGCGCAGCTGAACAACATTCTCAAGGAGTGGGTGAGGGACGTGTCGGCGAAGAAGATGCCGATTCACGTCGCGGAACAGCTCGCCGGCAAGATCTTCACCTTTGGCTCATATCGACTGGGCGTCCACACCAAGGGTAAGTGTGCTCTTGATTAGATTTCTGCTATTCTCTATCCTTTTGCTGTGATGATTGCCTTATCCTTGCTCTGCATTGGAGAATCCTGCACTTATTGTGTAGTGTTTGTCTTCAAAGAGATGAGACTCTAGGCGGCCATTAGTCTGAGCACTTGCTATTGCGTCATCAGTGGGCTCAAAACAAACAGTTTTGTCTCTCTTTCTAAATGCCATTTTTCATCCCACCAGGCGCCGACATTGACACGCTGATCGTCTGTCCGCGGCACATTGAGCGGTCGGACTTCTTCGCCACCTTCTCCACCTTCCTGCGGAAGATTCCCCACGTGGAGTACGTCCGCCCGGTGGAGGAGGCCTTCGTGCCGGTGATCAAGACCAAGATTGACGGCATCGAGCTGGACATTCTCTTTGCCCGCCTCGCCCTGAAGACCATCGCCGAGGACCAGGAGCTGAAGGACGGGCTGCTGTTGAAGAACCTCGACGAGAAGTCGGTGCGCTC